AAGCAATATCAATTTATGTACATTTTATTAATGATATTTATATATATTTGTTCACACGCGCAATCTTGGATCGTATCTTAGAAAAGAAGATTGATGTAACATTCGAAAAACGAAAGCTATAAAATTTTTTACTGCAACAGCAAGAGTTTAACGTAACCCTGTCTTAAAATTTTTATTGAAGCCGAACTCGAAATCAAATTCTTAAAACATTTATAAGTTCCCCATCTGCGCTACAGATACGACTGAAAAATATATTTAGCACCGTCTGTGACCAAGCATTGTTACTATTTATGAGCGTGAATATATGTCCGCGAGTGCACAGGTGAACCACAGTTTAACGTGAGCTTATTTAACATCGAATTACAATGGAAACAATAAATAAATAAAATAATTCCGTAATAAAAAATAATGAAAATAAACCACCGATGAAGGCTTACTCTACAAGATAATGAATAAAGTATTTTTCTTCTTATTATATGTTATATCAGAAAATAGAACAAAAAAAAAAGAAAATTTACGATATTTCTTTAATATTACCTATTATAATTAAATCTTGACTTATAAATGAACGAATAATTTTCTCGACGCATAAGATATTTTTACATTTGCAATCGGATCTTGATTTGCTGGAAATCTCCGATTCCACGAATATTCTCAAAGCAGGACAATAGATCGCGTAGTAAAAGTTCAAATAACCGACGCAAATGGTGCAACCATATATTGCAAAGGCGAATAAAGACGATGGGATGGGCAAACAGGAATAACGACGTTTGTCAGTGTCTCCTTCCGTAGAATGTGACAAACTCGACAAAATCCTTCTCTGTAGAATGTCGTTTGTCGTATTTGAGAGCTGCGATTGGTATCACGCATAGTTGCTTCGAGATAGTTGGTCCACTTCTATGTGCTACGAGGCGATCCTCGAGCGTAACAACTTTGCTGCACAACTATGTCCGAGTGAATCGACTCACAGTTGGTACAACTTTGCGTGGCGTACTTCAATCGAATTTTTAACGAATTGAATTTTCCAGATATCTAAGTCGATTGCAATTTTATGCGGTGTACTTCAATTTGTGATTGCAAAACAAATCGAATTCCGACCGCACGAACTGAAATAAACTAGACTAGGTCAACCAATCAGTCTGTTTATGTCACCAAGTATATACATGTAAGATGATTATTTTAGAATATAATATTTTTATATTAGTTATTTATATTATAATCTTAATAATTTTAAAAAATAAATTTTATTACTTTCTTTAATGTTGCACACAATTTGACGCTGTATTTTATAGTAAAAAAGTAATTATTATCAACATCATCGATATCTTCGCTGTGGTTCATCATAAATATAAATGTTATGACGTCAACAATTTAATTTGAACAATTATCCTATATATATTTTGAATATACATACAACAGTATAATAATAAGAAGACCAATTCGAGCAATATTTATCTAAGAGGCATAAGTAAAAGCAGTCTTTTACTGAGTCAGATCATTTATATCTTTCTCACGTAGAACTTTGCTACTTCGAATAAATGCAGGCATCATGAAAAATTCAGTATGAAGCTTGATAGAATCGCGGAGTATCCATACCGGAAAATTTGCTCCTACGAAACGATCATCTTTTCAATCGCCAATCTACTCGTCCGCATGCTCTACCAGGCTTACTTTTGCGAGAGATGAATTTAAGTGAGTCCATCATCTTAGAGCCTAAAGATGAAATCGTGTTTCTCTTTAGGATTGGGAGGATTTAAGTGCGATAATAGCTTAAGGCAAAAACGTTACTTTGGAAAAATAAGTTTAAAATTGAAAAATGATACATTAAGATAAAGTATTAAAATTAACAATAATATAATAAATTTATATCTCTTTACTTATTAATGTTTTATTCTGATAAACAATTTTTTACAATTCTTTAAAAATAAAAAAAGAATGTTTCTTTAATTCCTATCCTCGGCTGGTTCATCAAAAACTACAATCGAAACTAAGGCAAACTCAAATTCGCGTGAAAACTCATAGAGATTGCATCACGAATCTCGAGAACGAAGCTTGTAGCATCGGTAAGTCGTTAAAAGTTTCACGTAACAACTAAAGACATCACAAGTTTTTCGAGTGGTCAATAATGGGCAACTTTTCGTTCTTTTTAACTTTCTTCGCGTCAATTGAATCATTATAACAATGCAGTAATACGAAATAATACTTTAATTAATTGTCTTATTACTGGTACTCTTTTTCAATTATTATTCGAAAGCTGCGTAAATTTTAACACTAATTAATATAATTTTAACCTTGAGTTAATCTAGTTATTATTGTTAGAAAATTAGGCTCAGAATGACAAATTAGCGATAAAAACTAAATACTAAATTTCTATATATATATTTTAAATATTAGATAGTTCTGTGGCCTTTTATCACTTTAATATGCATATAATCTTACGTCAAAAAATATTTTGATCAGTATTAATAGCCTTATTTGTATCATTTAACTTTCTCATCTTGAATTTACTTACTCAATGATTGCTAACCATCCATGATAAGTGATATTTATGATATCCTGCTTATATATAATCAGAATGCTAGTTTTTTGCATAGGTCTATATTTAATGTTCACGTTTCACGACGAAATTGATTTAAACGATTAAATCATTCAACAAGATAAGAGCAATAATAAATCATTTTTGTTTGCGTTCGTGAAGCTCTTGAAATATATTACTGCGGAAATTGTCAGTTAAAGTTGTTGAAATAATTCTTTTTTATTCTTACGCCGACATGCATCTTAATTAAAATTATAAACTCAAAATATCAAACATTAAAATGTAAAAGAAAATGCCAAATACAGCGACATTATTAATTGTAGATATTATTTGCAAAATTCTCATTTGTAATTAGTACATATATATATACTTGTTATATAGTAATCGCCGTGTTAATGAAATTACATCTACGTCTACTCTGCATCTTATAAATATTCTTAGACGCAACTGAAAATTATCTTTTGCTTCTGTTGCAGTGCGTGCAAATGGCGCACGCGTTAAGACGCATCTCTTATGCGACTTGTGAGCCGCAGTACGCCCAATTCAGCTTTTTGGCACGAGAACCTAGAGCGCACTTTAGTCTACAGTACTGTCACTCCTTCATCACCGAGTCTGCAGAACAGGTGAGTAATGAATAAATAATAAATCAATCGGGATGTATGGTTTGTTATACATAATGTCACGCCAACGTAACATCAAATATTCTTATATAAAATCTGAAATGAAGCAATAAATATCGATCGTCACAGGACCAAATTGTCGCTGACATTTGCAACTCTTAACTTATAAAAATATCTAGCTTTAGAACTGATTTTCTCTTTGCCATTTCCTTCTCCTGCAATGTATAAAATATGATACTGAAGAGGACTGCGATAACTAAAAGTTATATTCAAGATTTTATAATAGAGATTCAGTAATATAAATATGAATCCGTTTATGTAAAGCACAAGATAAAAGATAATTCAATCTTAAACAAATTTAAATGTCTATAAATATAATGAGCAAATGTATATTAACGCAGATATACCTATGATATAAATAGAAACATATAGCAGATAATTTGTTTTTAATTATTATAAGTATTTTAAATAATCGAGCTAATATAAATCGCCAAAAATAAACCGGAATTTAGTCCAAGATAATGTACGTGACAAGTCGCCCCTTACAGTGGACAACCGCACGTGTCTCAAGTGGAAACTGGAAACTGTCTCGACGTTTAAAGCCGATGGATCACTCACTTTATTCTCGACAACTCTCAGGACGTTAAGGATCTAGTCATGTTGATAAGAAAATATTTAAAATTACCACAAGGATCATATTTTAATTGTAGATGTTTTTAAATAAAATTAAATCCTTAATTCTTATTTATCTTAACAATATAATTTTGAGCGAGAAAAAATAATTAATTCTTATAAAAAAATTAATTTTTTTTAATTGATTTATTTCCACATAATTATAAATACTTTCATTTTCTTTTGCTTCAACTTAACAATGCGATCGTAAAACTTTGTTATTACATGTCATCATGGCTTTCTCGAAAATCGTAATAGCTAGGTGTAAAATATCCGTAAAAAGAACGTGTCTCTATACTGAAAATACACGAAAAATATCGTCGGATATATATCGACGAGTACCGAATGCCAAGATCTAAAAGCCTCTTCCTGTTGTCTGGAAGATAACATCGCTCGAGGCTTCGAAGTCCATCGGCGATATCAGAAAGGATAGAACACCGTAAGTTGGTAGAGGGTCTTAGCGGGTTGAGAATAGTAGACTTTGCACTTGAAACTTTGCACTCCACCATTGCCTTGACATTTAGTCAACCCTAATGGCGCACTTTTCGGATTAAACTTTAAATACCTTTCGCTGAATTAAGAATGTCATCGTTCCTAAAGGTCTCGGATCAAGTAAGCTTATTCGGATAGCATAGAAGACGATTGAGAAGATAGGTAGAAAATGAGAAGTCTCAGCGATATTTTTTCTGCTCATTGATACCAGCATTTCAATTTTCACGCAATTTCTTTAATTTTTATTAAATAATTTGTTTATATATAGATTCGAAATGGAAAATATAAAAGCTTGAACTTGTTATTTTTTTCTTTAAAAAAATAATGAATATCTTTCCATGTTATCTTTATATGAATTATATTGCACCGAAAAGCTTTGGCTTTCAATAATTGATTGATGTCTGACCATATGATCGATCTTCCGTGTAGTCTTAGAGAATTTTGAAGAAGACATTTCCCATTTCTTTCTTTACACTAGCCTTGAAAAATATCATAAAACATATTTGTAAATATTGTCTGCTACAGGTATAGATACTTGTAGCAGGTAGACACAGAGGTATTTCAAAGAAGATTCACGACTAGTATCTCAGCTGGAGTACACAGATGCTCGCCGCGAGAAATGGCCGCAGGTATATAAGGTATTCCAAAAGGTACTTAGATGTAAGAAGAAGGTGCTTACATCTAGTTGCTTTACATCACCAGACACACATACGGCACAAGTCCGGGAGTCGAAGTCCGCGATCATGTCGCGCTGACGGCAGGTCAAAGAACGCGAATAGCAAACTCACGAGCTACATGTGGCGCTGGACTCTCCCAAGTGGCGTTCTCAGTCGGAGCAGAGTAAAAAGAAGCCGACGTTGAAAAGATTGTGAGAGGGACGGAGCAGAGAGAGAAGGAGAACGATGGATAGAGCGAGAAAGACCGATCGAAAAAGACAGAAAAGGAGAGATCAAGGGAAAGAGAGAGAACGGGGACACGTGGTATTCAACAGCTGCCGTTGAACGTGTTCAATGCCGCGGTTGAAGCAAGAAAGCGGTCGCTCGCAACGCTCGACTCTTCGTAGAAGGAGGGGATGGAACAGTGTGGGCCGGTCGGAGCGGCTCGCTTCGTGTTCTTCATGGACTTCAGTCTCTCTCTATACGTACCAAGAGGTATGTTGCCATCGCCGGTTAAGCACTGTAATACTTGGACTTGCGTATTCTGATCGTTCGAGAGGCACCAGCACCTGGACCGTCAATGTACGTTGAATGGAAGAGAGCGAGATCTGCACCGACAAAACTCATCCGGTAGGTTCTCCAATTGACAACAGAAAGGATACGCGTGAACCAAAGTATACTCTCTCTTTAAACTGTCGAATTGAATGGTTTGCCGCCTTTGCAAGTTACCGCTCTTCCGCGATAGGACAAGCTTGACTGATGAAACCAGAGGTTGAGACATTGAAAGAGAGGCTGTGACATTAAGACGTCGATATATATACATGTACATATGTACAATTGCAAAAATCTAATTAAATTGAAAGCAAAGGAAACAAAGTTGAAAATAATTCAAGCCATAGCTTTTCTGGCAAAGTACAAGCAATTACGAGGAAGTTGGGTGTACGAATGTGTCCGGGCACGATCCTAATGTCGGTATAATGGAGATGATCCTGCATCAAGATCCATCGGAAAACGCAGTGCAAAAAAGTATATAGCGACTACATATATAGTTGACAGGCGATGAGTAAGAAGCGGTGAAGCAACTCTGTACTCGTTAACCGGTTTCCGCGGGTCGGCATGCAGAGCGACACGTAGAAAAGACTATACGCCATCGAGTGGAACTCTCCATCCTTCATACATGTGCCACACGTATGTACACCTCGCGATAGAACTGGTCCCGCCGATTCATGACGTCGCCATCATCATCCGCTAATAATATCCGCATATGTCGCGGGAGACTCGACGACTGCGAAAAATCCGCGAGAGAAATAAGAATTCGATGACAGAGTTCTCGAAAACTTTTCTGAATGTATGTACCCTCGGTGCTGCTATCGTATTTGCATTATGATACATATCAGCATCTCCAATCGCATTAACTATCCAAGGAGATTTCTCTCTCGAACGGTGCTCATCTGCATGCTGCTATGAAATGTAAACTGGAATTTCGTTTGGATTTCAAGAGGCGCTTGGTCTGCGAAAGACGCCGAAACTTCGTCGTAGGAATATTTCCTCGGAGAAAGGCGTTGGATATAGTAAATACTTTAACGTGTCGACACATGCCGGCATGTCGGTACATGCACTTTGGTGCATTAGAAAGTGCGCTGCATGGTGTCGTGAATGTGTGATCAGAAATGTGTGGAATATCAATGTTGGAAGTGCAAATTACCGACGTAAATCGGTGTGTCTTTTCGGATGATGTAATGATGATATCGAATTATTGCTTTATTATTAAATTTAAGTAAAAGTCAATCGCACGTTATTCGAGCATCTTTGAAGAGAAAATATCTCTTTAGCGGGACTTAAGAAATAGCAAATATACGAAGCGACGAGCGATTCATATATTCTCACAGAAGGACGAGCAAGTACAACGGTCGCTGTGGCATGAGGAGGTTTGCACGCAGGCGCAATATCCTGACCGCATTCTCTGCGATTATGGGACGCCTTGGTAAAGGCTCGCAGAGCTCAACAAGGCCCATTTTTAGGGTGCATTATCGCAAACTCGTGGACGAATACTCGCAGCAGGAACAATTAAAGTTCATGCCTGCGCTACCTGATTACATGTCGTATTGCTGTTGTCGATGTGGTCACACACAAAAGCTCAAAGTAAGTTTTCACGAAATACCTCCAAAGTTTAATCTCCTGAAATCTCGATTAATCTTCAAATTCATCTTACATGCAATGTGGACACGATGTAAATTGTCACAAATTATTCGCAAGCTCGATCGCTTTTGATATTTTTCATTTTGAGCTTTCTTACCTCGAGAAATCAGAGAATCAGTTTACCGGAATAGCAGTAAATGTAAGTTTCAAGTGATTCGATATACATATAATAAAACGATTTCTGGATTCTCCAGACTTTGCGGCATGGCTTATACTTTACCTCGCGATATTAACGGAGCGCGATTAGGTCGTGGTACCGCAATATGACCCCAGAGACAGGATTGCAGCGGTCACGAAAAAAAAAATAGAAAAAAACCTCCTCTATTGTTTCATCCTCCTGAAACATGATTATGAGCAAGTAGCAAGAGCGTCGTTTTTTGTGGATATCTATCGATTGAAGCTGCGCTCATCTATATATAGCTTCCAGTCGTTCGATTTTCTATCGCATCTAGTTTCATTCACCGATACGTATCAAAGTTATGCGTTCATTTATATCTTTTTCGACGTTTGGAAAAGATCGACCTATCTCTAGTCGAATTTTAGGATCTATTAAAAGAGAATCGTCGCGTCGGTAGATTGCATACTGGAGTCTGAGAAAGAGAGAAAGAGCCTAAGCCAGGTAATACTACTATCGTGCCGGAAAGAAAAAGAGCTAACGAGAGAAGGGAGAGTAAAGGGGGATAAGCCGTGGGATCGGACGAACGCATTCCTCGGCTTCATGTAGCTGCTTGTAGCGCAAGATGCTTCGTTCGTTGCCTCTTTACCGATGGAGTGTCTGTATGCATTAATATTTTAGCAATAATATATAAATCCGTCGTTATATATTCTTACCAGCCTCTATCTGCATCACAAACATTCAGAAAAGTTAAATAATATATTAGAAAAAAAGAAGAGAAACCCGCATTATATAACAATATAGTATAATTCGCGTAATTTTTTGCTACTCTCTCGTGATTCTGGCTACTATAATATATACATCAATATATATAAAATGATCTCGTATTGTTACGAAACCGATTCAAGCGAAAATCGCTTTAGAAAGTGACTTTTGACAATCGCCATCCTTCCGTGGATACCTCTTGAATCGACAATAGAAAACCATAATTCGTGTCGACCTTCCGCGCGGACAAAGATCGAGGTCTTTTGCAGCGAGACTTACAAAACGCCGTTTGAATTTGACGAGTTTTCAATGATCTCTCGTGTGAGTTCACTATTCGTGAAATCCAGGTGAAGCCACGCAAGATTTGCTCCCCTAAATTTTCACCTCTAGCGCAGCTGATGCATTCGAAGACATTTTCAGTGAAAAGAAAAGAGAAAAAAAGAAAGAAGAAAATACGAGTCATTTACCACGTTGCGTAAACGTTACGAAATATCTCTCGACTATCGTCAATAGAGCATCTCGCACAAAAGATGACCCATTACCGCATCGAGATATCTTTCGTAGACACTTCAGGCACAATATACTCTGGACTTAGGCATACGTTATACCTAGTAGCTTCTCAATAATACATTAGTTGCCTGTTGAAAGACTTTGTAATGACTCAGTCATTAATTTTTCGAATCATTCATATCCGCTACTTTCTTTCGGTTTTGTCAATGTAAGAACCCCGAACAGATGTGAGATTTTACTTTTTATCTAACAGATCTCGTTTATTACTGCAAAACAACGATCATTTTTTTCTCGTAAAATCTGCCGATCGAATTGAACAAGTGACGCAATGACTTTGAAATATGCGCAGGATGCGCAAACGCATTGCAAATTTGTTATCAAAGTCTACATTTCTCACGTCACGTGAATGTGCAATTTTGTGCAATACCTATTATCGCGCAGAAGCGCCGAACAGTCACGGAAAATCTATAATAGCAGCGATTTTTTCTAACAAGTGCTCGACATATGCGACCGCTTGTAAGCAATTTATAATTTGAAATTTCTACGGTAATTCCAGGCAAGAAATACCAACCGTAAAATGCCATTTTGCTGACTAAGCACGCTTCCTACCAAGAATGACATCGCGAGATGTAATGTTCATGCGTGTCTCGAATCGAGCGCATTGAATGCATCGAATGCATCATCCCCCTCGCATTGGACGTACATGTCAAGTACTTTTAACGTCGACTGTGCTCATTTCCTTTACATATACAGGATATAGATACTATGCTTTTGATTTTATCTTTTATTTTACTGTCGACTAAAAATATATAGTTGTGCTTATTTACACGAAAATACAAAAAAAATGTTGCATGTATTTCTTTGACGTATAATTGAACAAAATCAATTTTTCTTCTCTGTTTGATTTGTATAATAATTTATGTAATTCAATTGACTCTTGCATTCTGATATGCTTTGATTATAATATAATATCTTCATTATATCTCTTTCGTTTAATTTATATAATAATATGTATATTACATAATTCAATTAGCACTTGCATGTTTACATGTTTCAACTGCTTATTAATATTTTCGTTATGAATTCATTAGCGTTTGCTATTGAGACAATTCTGTAGGCAATTAATATATTTATACTATTTAAATTATTTTTAATAATAATTGCATAAAGAATTAAGTAACGTCAACATCTCCCAAGGAAAGAACACGACGAGAATATTAAAGCAGTGAATGATAAGAGAGATGAATGTTGCAGAGAAGATAATCTATCGATAGAAAGTCTATATTCGTAATAAGAGAATCGACATCAATGTTCATTTTGCATCCTTCAACGACATGCCAATATCATGTAACATTCTCAGTAGATAATGGAAGCTGATTGATTTACATAACATGTGGAGAATACACGGATTACTCCATAGTCAAGTCCGTACTGTATAATGCTTATTGCAGATTAATACAATGTGTAATGACTTAATCGATTCAAGCCTAATCCGATCATGAAATTAGCATTATATGTGTCTGTCGTATATAACCAACATTTCCGATATAATTTTCAATCGAGAGAAATATGAGGCTGGATAATTTTAATGCAATTGAAAAGAAAGAACAAACATTTAAATAATGCTAATAAAAATATCTCAATTATATTTCTTTTTTATTTCACAAGCATTATTGTTTCGCAAAATTAATCTCTACGATATAGATTAATTTTTGATTACGGTATGATATATTAGGAATCTGATGACTTCATGCTAGGAAATAATAATTCTTGAAATATGTACCACCCTCCGTTCGCATCTGGACCATTAATCGCTGTTAGAATCGCGCGCTCGATAAGAAAGAAATTCGAGCAGCGCGGCGGAGAAATTTGAAACGAAGTGATCCTCTTCGCGTCGTATGCATCCTCGAGGGTGCATTTCTGGGGGCACCGAAATAGGTTTAATGACGAGACTCAAGGGTACAGTAGCAATGGGTATGGGTCGCAAAGTGGGCGTATTGTCCTGCGATGATGCACGATTCACGCATCACTACGTCTTTAAGTTTACCGCTCATTGTCGAGGACCCCCATATACGATAAGCCATTTAACCGCGAGAGTTAATCAAAGCTACGTCGTTAAATTAAATCGCCCTCGCGACTCGCTATTATAGTTCCACGCTAATCATCTTTTTAATTAATGTATTTCTTACATTATTACAAGCACAATTTTTCTGTGAATTTCTCAAGTTTTACCCGAGTATATTCAACAATCTCAAAACGTAAGATATTCAAATGAAATATGGATGTGCAATAGTATGGAAATTCAAGAGATACGTTAATAAAGGAAATTAATTTTTTTCCAGAAAAATTGTGCTGAAATAAATTTTATAGAGAAAGGAAAATATAGAATCGTCAATGTTGTGAAATGCGAAAACATGTGCGTTAGATTGACATACATATATAAGAGAGTTACCAATCGGAATTATTAATTAAATATATTATATTTTGAGACAGCGTTGGATCGATTCGAAATTTATATGTAAAACAACTAATTTAGCATGCATGACGAGGACCAAAACAGTCATAATATTATTACAGTAACATTTCGGGAGGGCATCATGCATCTGTCAGATATGAAACAGATGGACTCCAGCAGACTCCAGTCGTGGCGTTAATTGCTGATCAAAGAGATTGTGCAACGGTTGTTCTTCATCTGCATTTGCTCTATCTCTCTCTCTCTCTCTGTCTTTCTCTCTTTCTCTGACCGAATCATCCCTCTAACTATTGTATATTCGATCCAATCTTCGACCGATTTTACGTTAGACTGAATAAAGCGCTCGCCACACGATCAAACGATATTTCGGCCACCATCGGAATTATATGGTTTCCTTTCGTAGATTTCCAGCTCGTTTGCAGAGTCCAAAAAGCACTATCGTCGAAATTATCATTATTAATTAATGCTCTCTATCTCTTGTCGTAGCCAACTGTTCGTATGATAATTTCTTTTCATATACATATGATCGAATCCTGGAATTTCACGGATGGAATTGAAGAAAGTTAAATTACGACATTTGCTGTATTTTTTCATCGATTTGCGAATGTTATATATTTTTCAGAAAATATGAAAGATGTATTTTCCTCTGAATTTATTTCAATTCAATTTAATTTACGGGGTAAATTTTGACATTGATAAATAACTTGTGTAATCGTGACGAACGTCGTAATGATTATTTTGTTAATGGCGTATACACGAGTCAGATCGTACCGATATGATGGCATGTAACGGTGAAATTTGAGAGATATCGAATATTGACATTTGAAACCGCTGTACCTGTCCTGTCACGAACAAGAGTCCGTGACGTCGAGAAAGAAGTTTGAAACTTTGAGATTTATAATCTTGAACGCGTGGTTCCATTTCCTTTTACAGACACAGCTCGAAAAGAGTCGTAATTAATTTAATTTTATTAATTCCAATTAACATTTATGGAACATTTACTTCAATTAACATTTAAATGGCGCAACTAAAGTTCGTTCGAAGGGTTTGATTCGATATTGTCATCCTCGGCGCAAACCCGAGGTAGCAAACAGGCGGACGAAACACGACCAAAGGTCACGAACGAGCGAATAAAAGAAGCGTAACGTTGAAAGAAAGACAAGGGAATTAGGGTTCGTTAAGGTGGAACGACGGGAAAGCACTATCGATGACGATGATGTTGCACTGTGAAAAAAGCGCGACGGTACTATGATGCGGTCGTCGGTGCAATGCAATAATGACGCTCTCGGAGAGAATGTTCTCTCACTGTGTGCTCCGTATTCTAGAAAACTTTTCCTCTCCAGCCATTTATCCGAGCGTCGCGTCGTCGAGGTAAACCAGAAACCGAAGTGAGGGAAATTCAGAAGTGTGACGAGGGCCATCCCTACCTCGAACGCCATTATTGCGAGTATACCGGCTTGTACCACGGCCGATGGTAGTGGTAGACCGGGTATACGGGACGGGAAATCTAGAGGAGCTGGAGATATGGCCGTGACCGCGTGGAATGTCTGGAATGTAGCCCGTCACGCTGCACCGGCGCAAAGCCACCGCGCGATCCATCGCCCTTTCGGTCCTCTTTCCATTCGATTCTGGCGTGTCCCTCGTCGTTTTTTGCCAAAAAAGACCGCCAGCGCGAACGGTGAATCAAGGTGAGCCAAGACGAACCGAATAGTTCTCCAAAAAAAAAAAAAAAAGAACGCCATTTTTCCTTTAAAGTCCATCCAATATTCTGATATCTGATTCTTTCGAATCGATTCTTCCGACGTCTCGTCTCGAATTATCATTGGCGCGAAATATCGCTTTCATGTAATTCAAGGAAATGTTGCCGAGGATGTTGTTTAGATAATACAGTGGTAAATCTGTTTGATCGCTGTTGATCGATCAAACAGATTTGAATTCAAACGTGGTGAAGAGGGTCAGTGCCTGCTCGAGTCAATGTCCAGGACAGAGTAGAGCGGAGAGGAAGAAAGAAGAGTCGCCAGTGATGATTTCATCGCGCTTAAATTCCACCTCGGGCGGGAATCTCAGGGCCGTATTTTCGATTGTCGGCCAGAGGTCGAAATCGAAGGCTCTAGTCACAAATTCGCAGAGATTCCACCCACAACGACGATAAATTCTTCCTTATATGACGCGCTACGACGGCTCTTTTAGTCTATCGCGAGCAAGTGAGCTCCCTCGTTGGAACGTTTTCTTCTTCACATTTTCATAAAGCATGGTGTTGATGGGAGAAAATAAATTAGTTTTCTGCTATTTAGTATATTGACACGATACGCGATAAAAATAATAGAATTAATGAAAACATTACGTAAGAGCTACTCAACATGTGTATATGTGAATCTTTTAATTATATAATAAAAAATATTTATTAATATAATTTAAGATGTTAATATTATTAGTAGTCTTACTTTCGCAAAACCAAGGTTTTCAAATATAATAAAAAATTGATCGCATCCATCTTGAAGCTGAAATTCTCTGTACACATCATGATATACAGTAATGAGAGTTTATAGTATAACTAAATGACGATTTATATAGGTATGCCTAAAAGGATGGCGGAGGATAGTGCTCGGGTATGACTTGGCGAGTTACGGAACGGTCGTGCGGCCGGTCCGCAATTATAGCTCAAGTCATTGCCTTGCTCCGCGTGCAAACGTAATTGAAATATCTTGTTCCTAGTGGAATCATTCGACCTGACCTCAAACCGCAAACCGTAAAATTATTCGGGCAAGCACGGCGTCGCTGCGCGCGTTTCAATCTAAAAGCTCGCCCCGCCATTGTCTCACGCAAACGAGAACGTATATCATTAAAACGCGTTACTCCCTACATTACGTAATCCCTTTCGCCTCCGTTTTTTCCACATACCAAACGGCCAGTTTTAAACGTTTTTGTCGGACGTTTTTTTCATAATAGCGTACGTAAACTTGCAAAACAATACGGCATCGAAAAATACACAGCGTCAGCACGTTCGGCTTTACAATTCTATCTTTCGTTTGCATTTTTATCACTCGCGAGCTGATTCCGTCTGCGAGAAATGTATTTTCCATCCATGTGGTGCGAAGCCGGGGATTTGCAAGGATTTCCGGATCGCTTGCAACAATGTCCTAACAATGTCACAGAGATATAGGTACATAGGCGCAGGTATTCTACATAGACGCAAGAAGAACGCAAGCTAGAATTCGAGATATACGTGTACTCGACGATGCGAAACGATCGAACACCTCCCTCGCGACGAAGAAAGGAAAAGTTACAGACGCGAGAGACTCTGTTAATCCGCTGCTCTCGTTTTCTATGCACGCACAATGCGTGCTCTTAGACCCTCGTCGGTCGACCATGCGTGCATTAATACCCATCGCAGCGGGGCTTTTACGTAAGTTTTCGAAAAATAGAGATAGCAAATTCGAGCGAACGCACTAGTGCGCATTGGTGCACATTAAACGCTGTCGCATATAAATTTAACAATAGCATAAGTAATTAATACTACAAATTATTATTATTATTGTTATTATTATTGTTATTCGATATGAATATATGGTTATAATTACTCGTAGAATTAATTACCTTACTGTTTTAATTGTTTATTTAGCTATTATAAATTTCTGTACAAAAGTTCTTTTTAATTTGAATCACTACAACACATTAGTGCAGTCAACCAAATTCGTTAAAAGATAGCACGAATTTTTTCCCATTTCTAATCTGCGCACGTACTTTTGTATATAAATTATAAATTTGTAAATTATTTATATTGTAATTATTAATATTGTAAATTTCTATACGACAATTTTTTTAACTTGCATCACTGCAACGCATTAGTGCAGTCAACCAAATTTGCTAAAAGATATACCACGAATTTTTTTTCATTTCTGATCTGCGCACGCACTCTTGTATATAAATTATAAATTTGTAAATTACTTATATTGTAATTATTAATATTGTAAATTTCTATACGACAATTTTTTAACTTGCATCACTGCAACGCATTAGTGCAGTCAACCAAATTTGCTAAAAGATTGCACAAGTTTTTTTCCATTCCTGATTCTGCGCGCGTTCTGTGTATATGTATACATATATATGCGCACGATTCATCTGTATCTTGATCGGGTGTAAATACTAGACGTATGCAGCCAAGTTTTCTAAACACATATACGAGCGAGGCTGAGCTTGCGGATCTTCGCGAGTGCTTATTACATATTCAGACTCCGCGTTTGCGCTGCTGCATCTGCGGCGTCTGCTTGGACCGCTCATTCCTCATTTATCTCACTGATGAATCCGACAAAAATGTAATTGTCTCTATATTAGAGCGTAAATAATATTTTCATATAATATATTTTATGAATTTAATAATCTTTTATTTAATAATATTGCTCTCGGGCAAGAATTTTTTTATTCAGCATGGTTGCATCGCCTTTGATATTTGACGGAATTATAATTTCAACATCTAGTTTATGATTTTTAATTAAAAAGGTAGCATTTAGAAGTCTCATTTACAAAAGCACATATACACATTATGTCAAAAATTAAGAATATATATTTTAAACATTTTCTAATTAAAATTTAATTACAACGTGATATAAAAAAAACAGCTGTATTTCGATCAAGTAAAAATTTACAAGCTGCTCTAATTAATTGAATTATCTTGTGAATAGTTCTTAAGATAGTCTTACTGCTTAAAAAATTAATATTTAATTGATTAAAAATGGCTCCAATAATGATAATTCATAAGAACAATAAAAAAAGACAATAGGAACGCTACATGGCGCAAATAAATTTATTATAAATCAAAAATACTAATCGAAATATAAAGGCGAACATTTCGATCCCTTTTCGGAACTTTTATCAACTTATTAATAAAATTAATAATTATAAAAAAAATTAATTTTACGTGGATTAATCTTACTGTGCGGAGTATGGGCACGAGTTTTTGCGGACATATTTGTTAAAATTAAATTAAAAACTCGCAAAAAAATTTTTCTGCATATTATATCAAATTTATGTTAAAGTTCGAGTTTTTTCTTCTATTTGCAGGCGGAGGAGCTGAACACCATCGTTGGCAATGCTTTCCGCATGGCGTACGTGGCGCAGCTTCAACGCCAACCGATCCTTCAAGATGTAATCTCATCGCGATCGACGCCATCTTATCGCAAAGACAAACAGGAGCATCGAACGTCGTGGGTATGTTTTAAACATAACACACAACCGAATAAACAACTGACCGCTCTTGCGTGGAAAAAACAAATTATAAAACTTGAAAAAATGTTTAGTAGCACGTCAATCGCTAATAAGGAAGCGCTAATGAAAGTAAAGCTTAAAGTGCTAATGAAGTAATTTGTTTCTGTCGTCGTCAACTAGCAAATTAGTTAAGTTAAACTTTGCAAGCTCAACTTTACAAGCTAGTAGTATCGTGCCATCTGCCAGTCTTCTCACAAAAGCACTGTGGATTGCAATTAAATAGTTTTAGCAATTAGCGGACAGTTCTCAGATCTTTCTTCTTAAAGATTCTGCTTACCGAGTTGTATCGTAGCGCAACGTTTGCCTTGCAAATAAAAGAGCGTATAGAGGAAATGGAATGCAGAAAGTATCGTCTCAATTTTTCTGAAAATTGAATAAACACCGTAAAATGTTACAGCGCAATCGCAATAAGCTCGCTTTTAGGTCAAAAACTCGACTACACAAATAAATCAAAATCATGAAAATTGTGTATTCGAATCGTATTAATAAATTTGTTCCATGGTTACGCGCAAACACGAGATATTCCAGAAGGTATTAGAATAGATACTGCAATATGCTGGTACTGGAATATATAACAGAGAAAGAGAAGAGACAGCTGGAACACAGCTCCGCGGAAGAGCTTCTTAAATATCCAAGCGCGAGTCGAAAGAGACAACGACGACAACCATATCCTCTCTCGACGTGGTCTCACGAGACCCACCGACTCCAGTAGTGTCCCGTTTACGGGCCGCGTTAATTATAAATTCGACCCGAGTCTCTCGCTTACCACCTCGCGTCGCGTCGCGTCGCGTTTCCAAGTAAACGGTCAGTCCGTCATGGTCCGCTCGGAACAGTTCTCGCCGCAGAATCGCCCTGGGAATCGTCAGATTCCATCGAATATTCATTCAGAAAAGTCCGACTGTGACTGAATCGTTTAGTTTTATTTTTTTTTTAATTTTTTTTTTTACAATCTTGTCTAATTAATGATACTTTTGGGCTCCTTGCGGATCCGTTTAAGGCAGGTGATAGCACGTCGAAAGAGAATCTTTAACAATAAGACGTTTGCGCTAAGAGGCATAAATAATTAGCAAACGGTTGCCTGTTCTTGCAACGTCTCGGGATGTAATTCGAATCAATGCTTCGCTTGCAGAACAAATCGCTGTCCGAAGACGATACGATCGCCGCGGGCGCTTGCAGAAGTCCGTCGTCGAACTCGTGGTTGAAAAGTCGGACATCGCCCACCTCTAGAATTGGAAGGGGTTCATCTGCAACGGATATGAACGTGCAGCTCGGCAGCGCCGGCTCGCCCACGCTGCGACTTTCTGGCGTAAAGGTGAATTCATACAAGTAATAACAACAAACTCCACCACGACCTGCTCTATTACATTCGAACGCGAAAATTAATTTTAGTTCATCTAGCAGCAATTTACAGTAAGCTAACTTTAAAACGTAAAGTTTTATATATCGCCGACCAAACTATACATGTAACACGCGTTTCTTTTAATTAATACCGTTTCTCATCCATTTTGTGGCTGCAAGACACATATAAATGCATCGCGAATATAAAAAGAAGAACATAACGTTAATGAAAAAAATGACCAGACTGATTGAATGGCTAAATGATCGATATTTTTAATTCTCTCGCTCGCTAATGCTCGCGTTTCAAGGGCGATTCGAAATAATTCCAGGCGCCGAACACGATCCCAGGTCTGCGGCCATCGTTCACGAACGTTCTCGGACCCATAACGAACGAGGATGGGCCGAAGAGCATATCCCAGCAGAGCACGCCGAGCAGCGATGAGAGCAACTCACCGACCGAGTTAAACTCGTACAAGAGGCTAACGGACAAGCCGCCGCTGATAAAGCGGCTGGCGATGGGTTTGACAGGTGGACGCGACGTTCTTGGGCTGAACAGTGAGGATGACAGCTGCCCGCTCGTCAGCGGTAGCAGCACGCCAACCAGCCCATCGAACAGGCCCCATTCCGGGGGCTACATAAACGAGGCGATCATCGACTCGGAGGGTACGAGGCCGTCCTACAACAAGATCCCGCCGTCCGAAAGCCTCGACAACACCATCAACGCGTCCATCACCGCGAAGAACTTCAACATCGAGAACAACAGGTGAGGCAGCTCCGGAATCCTGTTTCTCCTCTTCCGCTTCTCCCTTCTTCAAAATCAGTCAAGTGATCGCGAACGTAAGACTTGTGAATGGCAGCTCTTCCGTCTCTTTTTCAGGATAGGACACAATTGCCCGGATTCGGGTACAGAGGCGGAATTCAAGTCAAAAAGAAGATCGCAAATTAGCACGTCGAGTAGCTCGGTGCCCGCTGACGGAAGCACTCATGGCTCCACGCCAACCCCGCCGCCTTTACCCGAGAGAACAGACAGTCTGAATAATCGAAACGAGGAGGCCGAGCTACGCAAGGCGCCCTGGTTCCAAGCTGGAATACCCAGGTTAGTCCAAACGAGTCATTACTACATTTCGGACTAACGAAGTAACGCGCGCCCGCGTTTCTCAGTGCGCCAAAATAGCAACGTCGCCTCTAGCTAATTTTAAATATTCCTCGAGCGATTCAGTTCCAATGGTGTAACTTACCTACTCTGTAACTTGGTACGAATCTGTATAATATAGTCAATGAGATAAGCCAAAATATCCGATTGTTTTCTCTTGAAAAGAAAAGAAGATACTTACACATTTTCGCTCATTTATCATTAACACGTCACGACCGTGATTTTAGAGAGATAACGCTGGAGGTATTGAGCCAAGAGCCGGAAGGAGCGTTCATGGTGCGAGAGAGTACCAGTAAGCCCGGATGTTACGCCCTCTCCCTCCGCGTGCCCCGTGAATTCCAGCCGAGCGGAATAGCCCATTATCTCATAATGCGTACAAACAAAGGATACAAAATCAAAGTAAGTTTCTTCTCGATATCCACATCTAAAGGATAGCAAAGACTCTCGTAAGATTCTTGCGCGAGCTTGGAAGAGTCAAAGTAAATCTTCCTTCGGCCGAAAACATTCGTTCTTGCGAAAGGTAAAACCTCAAATATCCGCACAGATTAACTTGATTAACATTTCTTTCCGAGAACAACAACCGCTATTTATTTCAACAATCTCTCGTGTAATGCGTATCCGTACTAATTATACGTTTATTACACAGAGAGAAAATGTGTTTGCGCCAAAAGTTGAACATAGATCTACGCGAGAATAAAACTCTTTTTAAAATACGCTTATATAGAATATTATCCAATTAGGATAATATCTAAGACAGGAAGAGAGACCACAGGAGAATCCTTTCGCGTATTCGCGGAGTTAATATTGAAATAAGCTACGCTACAATGGGGTGCTAATGCGCGAAGCTTTTAGTAGCCAGACATTATACGGTACCACGCTGGTGTAAAGCTACTAATACATTCGGATATTTAAATGGTCGAACTTCCCCCTCACGTAGGATAGATTAAATGAGTCCGCAGACTTTGATAATCTCCGAAACCAGTATAAATGAGTTTTGTTGGATGTGCCGTGTGGGTGCCGTAGGGAAATCAAAACTCCGCTCTCCCTTTGCCTCTCTCTCTCTGTCTCTTTCTCTCTCTTATATATGTATAGTATATGTATAGTAGCGCAAAATTGCATCGCTGTAACAGCGCAGCACCAGATCCGAATGAATGCCGTCCGCGATAATTTTGATACACAAAGCTCGCGTCTCGACACACATGTGTAATACATTTAATACCGCCTTGTTATGTACGTGTGACGCTACGTTACATATCCGCGTATCGCTACACGCCCCTGAAAATGCGAGAAAAGATATCCAAATTAATATCACGTTTCAATTTTGTCCCAACAATGCATTACAATAATGCATTGTAATATAAGATAATACGCGTATGATTTAAATCAAACAACACAATGTAAATAATAATAATAAGAATAATAATAATAATAATAATAATAATAACAATAAACTCCAATTACATGTATATCAAAAACAAGTATAGAAAAAGAGTCTCTTCTCTTTATTATTTCGAGGAAAATTGTCGATTTTGCTTTTCTGTCAATATATACTTTAACAATAGTTACGAGAAAATAAAGATAATATAAACGAAGTAGGAAAATTTTTTAATTAATAATTTTTTAATTTTAATTAATAACTTTTTTAATTAATAATAATTATAAATTAATTAATTCGAAATTTAGTGTTGTCGCAATTATATCACGAGAAACGAGAAATGTGATAATCTCTATAATAATTTCATATGTTTCAGGGCTTCACAAAGGAGTTCACGACGCTGACCGCACTAATAACTCACCATTCGGTCATGCCAGAATTATTGCCATGCCCGTTGTCGTTAAGCCGATATAATCCGAGCTTCGTCAAGACTGATTCCAGCAAGGATTTCGCGGACATCGATTCAGACCCCGATTACAATACTCTGGCGGATTTTCGCAAAATGATGGCCGATCTAAACGTTTAGAGCGAACCGTCGAAAATAATCATTTGCATGGAATATTTACGTATGCTCCATTTTTTCTTTTTTACGAAAACGTCTATCGATTCACGATTGGAAAGAATTGAGGCACTATTTGAGGTACATTTTGGTACCTGGATTAAAAAATTGTGTGCCATTGAATGTAAAGAGCCAATATCGTACTTGCTCGATTGTCACGAAGAGAACGGAAAAATCGATATTGGCAGAACACAAAGTACGTATTTAAGCGACGCTTAGTTATCAACTTATGTTCCGAAAAGACTCGCACAACCACCAGTGATACATACTCGTAAGTCATTAATAATGATAAGGAATACGTAGCGTAGAGATAATTTAATAACTGCTAGTGTTGTGTGGACGCGTGCGACTGTGGAATAGTAATGCCGAACAATTTTTTATATTACACGCACGCTTAGAGCGAGATATTAGTTTTAAGCTTGTTACAGCAGGTGAAGCGAAACACAAATTGTCGTTTGTCAAAAAATCCTCTAAAAAATTTTTTAGTAAATTATTTTCGCGAAAGGGAGTATATTAGAGCAATCATGTTAAGAATTATGATCTTTTTACGAGTTTCTCTGTTGTTAGACTGACTTTCAAAGTAAATCGAATTTTCTTATCGTTTGGATCGTTCTTGATAAATGTAACGAGACCAAAAGATTAATTATGATATATTATTGTTATAAAATACATTGAATAATTGATGGGTTAAATAAAAGCATCGATAAATTTTACAAAAATATAATTTCTCAAGCTTTAAAAAATTTAAATAAATATTACATTAAAATATTATATTAAAAAAACATATTATTGTTAAAAATATATGAGGATTAAAAGGAGAAACAGCTATGTATGGAAAATATATTTCCCGAAAAAAATCGATAACTCACAGAATGGCACATACAATATTCAGATATTTTTTCATCTTTCTCACAATTGTGAAAAACTTTGTGATATCTGAGAGCGATTTAACAATTTTTATTCGACTGAAGTGATTATTTATTATTTCGTAAGATGTAGTCGAAGATATATATTGTTAACGTAACACAAAATTAACTATATCAACTTAGTCGCACTTGAAGTTGAAAGGCCAGATATGTTCCAACAAGATTGTAAAAAAACCAATCGTCTCTCCCTCTATTCGATTAGACTTTATAATTAATCAAGCGAGGTCTATTCTTGAGAAACTACAAAAGATACGAATAATCGTCACATATTTTCTGTACATACCTCGAAGAAAACGAGAAAAAAAGAGAATCGAATTGTTTAAAAGTGTTCGAATTTGGGAGCAAAATCAAGATATAATTGATCGGATTTAAATTCTTTCGTTATGATTTAGTCGCGCAATTCCGATGATATATCGAAACCGGGGATTAAAAACGAAAAACAAGTTCTTCTCGGTCAATATTAAAAAAGAATAATTTTATTTGTTTTATTTAGATGTTTAGTAAGTTTAATATCTTGTGTAAAATAATCTGATGCATGTGCACAGAGCAAAAGTTTTTTGCTCTAAATTTTATTTCCTAGTCCATGCAGCAGACACAAGATACTAGTAAAATATTATTTATTAATTATATAAAACAAAGATGCAATTTGAATGAAAATAAATCTTGTAACACAAGATTAAAATATACAATATATTTTCTCTTCATAAAAATAAATAAAAAAATATTTTTCGTTTTTAGTCCTCAATTACAATATTGATGTGTATATGTTGTTTATATGTATATATATATATGTGTATATTATAATTATTCTCTCGATATTTCTAGACATATATATTTAATTAGTCAAAGAGGATTAGTAAAAGGTATTATGGAAAATATGATTATTATATACGAACATAGAATTTTACCAAAATTTGAATTCAAAATATGAAATACGAAATATGATAATATATAATTTATAGTTTTTCTCAACTATCCTAGTCTTGTACAGAAATTTCGCGCAGAAATTTCGAAATTAGTTACAATGAAAACCGTGCGATATGTGTGAATAATTACCCTATTCAGATGATTCATACGCAGTAACCAGATATTACAAATCGCGCACACTTTTTGTACATTGCAAAAAAAAAAATAATTTTCCATTAATCACCAAATATCATTGATATCTTGGCTATATAAATTATCGAAACTACATCAAGAAATTTAAAAACTGCCAAAATCATATTTTTCATTAAATCAACGACATCAAATATAGCGACCATCGTTTATAACAAAAACTGGAAAGCAAGGATTGAAGTTGCTATAACTTCGGTGACGTAATTTCAATGTTATAAATATAAACGTGTGACATAAAATAACAATTTTTCATACTTGTAATATCGAATATTAAATTTTTCAAAATGATAACGCAGTTTCGATCCTTGTACATACAAAATAGGCAAAATAAACATGTGCATCAATAGCGTATCGATAAGATACATATAACGCATTGTGCTGGAAGAAAGTTCAGAAAGATGCATATGGTGCATTAAAATCGTATGTATGATATGTATAATAGATTTATGCAAATATGAATCCCTGTGACTTTCTACTTCTACAATGTGTTTCTGTGTAATGCTTTAACAACGCGTATTGCTAAGTCATTATAGTAATGAAAGGAGAAATCTCATAGAAATATATATTGTATTTCTGAAATTTTATTAGAAATTTATCACGTACCAATTACATTTTTTAAGATCACAAAAATTGTGTAAAAGAAATAGCATGTTTTATATTTGTTAATCTTAACATAACACACACAACGTACAAGAATTTTAATAAGCTTTTTGAAATATAAAATTAAAATAACAAGAAAAATGAAAGAGAAATATTTATACTAGAAAACCGATTAAACTGCGTGCTAAAATAATTGCGCGAGAAGCGCAGCATAATCAGCTGTTGTAAGATACGCTAGGCATGACATTAATCACTGCTTGAGGTTTGTTTGTAATGTTTTATGAATTTATTATTCGCGATGCGTTGTATAATGTCAAGAGAAATTATTTATTACAATAAATATTATACAAAGAGTATGTTTATTTTTTGCCATGATAGATAATATTTTACAAAATCTAAAAATATAAATATCGATGACGTAATAAGAGTTAACTAACGACGAATCGATAAATAAAATTCGAAATATTGTATTTCAAAGTATATCAAGTAAAACGATACATATCCTTTCAATTATCTTGACGTACCACGTGCTTTTCTCTTTCTGACACGAATGGTACGGTTCCCTTCTTAGAATGAGTACGTCTATTAGCTTCCTTGCGTTTACTTTTCTCACGAATATTCCGTAATTCAACTCGAGCATTGTATATGTGTTTCGGCACTTGTCTATGACGCGCAATACGTCGAATTTCAGGATGAATCGCATACTTTTCTTTCAAAGCATCATTGCAACGTAGTGCTAGTTTTTCTCTAGTCTTCAGAAGACCAAGTTTTTCTGATGCTTTAGCTTTCCATATACGAAGATTCATTTCATCACTGCCACTTATTATGTATTTATCATCGAGTGACCATCCTACGCAGGTAAGCCTCTGCATGCGTCTTGTGTGGTACACTTCTCGCGAGTGACCTTTATTAACCTCGAAGATACGAATAGACTTGTCGTAACTACCCGAAACGAATTCTCTTCCTGTCGGCGAATAATCCACATCTATCACAGCCTCTACATGATCCTTATGTACATTCATTGGCGTTTTTAATTTCCGAATATCATAGGTGTACAAACTGAAAGAAATGTCTTTAAGATTTCTGCAAAAATTGAATGCAAAAACAAAGCTACGATTATAATACAGTCTTACTTGTAATCTTCATTAGCACATGTGAAGACGAAAGCTTCCATGGGATTCCAAGAAAGTTTGTTGCTCCGTAATTTCATTACTATTCTTGTTAAGGGTCCTGTGTCTCTGGTGTCATATAAAATTATGCTACGATCACTTGCACAAGAGGCTGAAAACAATTTGATTTAAGAAAAATTTAATTCAAAATTTGGATAAAATTTTGTATGCAAAGAGAACTGCTAGAAAAATGTATCGAATAAGTATACTTAAACCTCAATATATATAATATATAAATTATACCTAAAAGATCTTTCTGGATAGGATTGAATTTTACATCGTGTAAACTATCTACACCCCATTTAAATGTACGGAGTGGTTCATTACGAGTTTCTTCCCACATATGACATAATCCTTCTCCGCAGGTGACAAATAGAGGTTTAGTTCGATGATGCGTTATATTAGTTAGTACTGTCTAGAGATAAAAATTTGTTTAAAACTTTCAAATGCTTTAAAACAATAACTTATAAACTTAAAAACTTATATGTAAAAGCTGACATACTTTGCTGACAATAGTATTTAAAGGTTCTTCTTCTTCTTTATTAGCATCCCATGTCTTAATTGTTTTGTCGTCTCCAATAGTAATAAAATGTTTTCCATTAGGCACATATGTAAGGGCACGAACTATACCATCATGAGCTAATAATGTACGTTTGCAGATTCCTTGGGCAAGATTCCACATTCTTACTTCACCATCATAAGCACCACTCAATAAAGTAGATAATTGAGAAGGATGTTTACATATGCAAGATATTGCATCCTTATGGCCTTCTAAATTGCCTACAAATGGTTTTGCAAATACTCTTTCGAGTTTAACAGCGTTCAATGCTTTCGTGTATTCTCTTGGAGCTACAAAGGGATGTAAAGATGGATCGAAATTTCTTGGAACTGTAAATAATAAAACAATTTTCCATCAAATGTAGACTACGATAGGTTAGTATTAGCTTTGCAATCGATATAAACTTACTTTTATGAATATCTCGTTTAGTTTCTCGTAAGTATTCATCAGGATTCCTACTTAACACTTTAACTTTCATTTTAAAACGATCACACGTGCGCTTTTTTATCGAAATAAAACTTACGAAGATATTTAAACATTTACACGTGGTCTGTGAGGACTCAATGAAAACGTAAACTCTCGTCTCAATCGACTTTCGACTTTTATCGACTACTCTCGAGTCTCGATTACTCTCGAATCGTCAAATATGATTTGAATCTCAACTAAGATTCGAGTCTCTGCTAAGTACAATTTGAATTTCTACAAAATAGAATTAAAATTTTTTTTAATAATTAAAATACAAAAAACGCTCTTTATTAAAAAAATTCTATATATTTAATTAAATTATTTATTATATTATTTTGTTTTTTCTTTTATTATACTAATTCTTTTTTACATGATGTTTACATGCATGGATTTTTTATACGTGCACACATAAAATAAAATAAATGATTATTAAATTTTTGCATGATTACACGTAATGGAAACTATATACATTATGATATACAGAGATAATTTCTTTTAGAATTTACTCTGAATAAAATTATGAGACAATGTTAATATATTAGAAGAATTTTATAAGAGTTTCTCTGACTAATATTTACCATAATAAAAATATTAATATATATATACCACATAAAATATGTTCGATTAATTTTACATATTAATATTTTTTATTATGGTAAATATTTTGAATCAGAGAAATTTATAAAATTCTTCTCATATACCATATTGTCCCACAATTACCATGATTTTCAAGATAAATTCTAAGAGAAAACTCTCTCTCTCTCTCTCTCTCTCTCTCTCTCTCTCTCTCTGTCGTTTTATCAATTAAAAATGCGTAATCGCATAGAAGATGTATGAGAAGAGGAAAAATATATCATGATATTCTACAGAAACAGTGTGTCATATATATTATAGAGTACAAAGAAGGGGGGAGAGAGAGAGAAAGGGGAGCATTTTGGTAAATAAGATTACGCGAATGATAAGATTACACGAGCCTTTAACTTAGCGTACAGACACGATAAGCATCATCTCGTATTGAGGTTTCAGCGGTACCGAATCGATTTTCATAATGCCAGGTAAGTAAAAAAAAAAATTTGCTTCAAATATATGTTAAAAATAAATTTAGAATATTAAATTTTTTGTTTTTTATATAATTAATTTTTTTTATTCTCTTATTTGCTTCAAGTCTATTTTATTAATTTATTATCAATATTTACTATTATATATAAATATTTAATCAAATGTCATTTTCCTCAGTTTAATTTTTTCATTATTACAGAAAATTTGAAGCATAAATTGGAAAACTCGAATTATAATTATAATATATAAATATAAATGAAAATTAATTTAAGAAACTAAAGTATTTTTCTATTTGCTAATTTTAATTATTTTTTAAATTTATAATTTCCGAAAATTTTAGCTAAATATATATTCTGCTTATAAAAATTCTGATTATAATTTACAATATATTTCAAATGAGTAAAGATAAATTAAAAATTTTTCGATGACGTTAAAACTATATAATCCTATGATATTATGTTTTATAAAATATGCGTGCTTATTATTTATGCCGTATTGTATAGAAAAAAAGATTATTATTGGATATAGATTTTTTCTTAAAAAATTCTGTCTGAAAAAATTCAAGAAAGTGTGTCACTAAATTTAAACAGTCACTTTAGTGTAAAAAGTGAATCATATATGAATTATGTATAGATAATATATGTGAAATCATCCATCATACATGAACCTTCTGGAAACGTTTTATCAATTACGCACGAAACGTGTATATCAGAGTTGAAACATTTTAATATTACGTAATACATATGTTCATTATATGTCAATTGTTTAGATATTTATAAAATTATGTAGAATAAAATTTGTATGACATTTTTCTTCTCTCTTTCATCTAAATTCTAAATTAAATTAAACTTTATTTTAATTTATTAAACAATTGTATTAAAATTTATTTTTGTTATAATAATCAAAACACTTTTATTAATTTGAAACAAGATATTTATTAAAAAAATAAGGAACTATAACTATAATTAATTGTAGAATTGAATATCAATATTTGCATAATACTTTTTAATAAAAGTAATCTATTATATAATATTTTATCATAAATTATTTTTGTAACAATTATATCTAAGAAAATTACTATTGCAAAGGTGTTATTGCAATGATAATATATACCACATTTGCAATGGTAATTTTCTTGAAAAAATAATTTATCATAAATATTATTAGATTTATTTACTTTTATTAAAACGTATTATGCAAATATTAATCTTCAATTGTAAGTTTACGTAACAAAGAATGATATATTGGATATTAGATTTTCTTCTCTCTTTTTTATTTTAATCCTAAATGAATTTTATATCAAGTAAAATATCCTGCTCTATATCGAACTTCTAAATCGCTCTAAACCGAAATTTTTTATTTAAACACTCTAACGAGATAAGATTAAAAGACTAAAGCCTAGTCGATCCATCCGAGTTAATTTACTTGGCATATCAGTGTCATTGATAGTTTGTCATTTTATTACAGCCTACAGGTGGATAAGCCGTACCGGTAATCAATCGCTGCCAGAAAACGCGGTCGCCGGAGGCCGCGATTCTGATGGATGCACGATTTACGTTGGCAGAGCCTTCCACAATGGCGACATGGTGCCAGCGAAAGTGATTCCTGATAAAAATGTCGCTTATATTTGTCATAACGGCGAGGAACATCCTAAAGATCATTTCGAAGTGAGTAAAAAGCGAATCTATTTAAGTCGCGAAAGACTCGATCTAATTTATTGCTTTTGCATCGAGCAAAATTTGAATCATAACTCTATCATCTTGTGAAAGTAATTAAAATTAACAAATGGATATAATTTTAATAGCATATATTCTTTCTTGGTATTGCAAATTGTCTATTTTTTATTTATTTTTACTCATAATGCTCATCGACAAAATTAGCATAAGTGTTTTCCTGTTAATCTTTAAAGCAGAAATAAGAATCATATTATTGATTTTATTTCTCAAATTGATATTATCATCAATGCGCATAATAAATGCCAAGTCTTATTAATTAATATAAGGTTATTCCCAATATTCAGCAACTTCCTTTCATTGTGTAGTAGCGAATAAGTATCTACGGATTATTTCTGCAAGTTATGTAACGTGCCATAAATAAGTAGTCAAAGTACAAAACTTGCTAAGATTAATTGGCTGTATTAAATTCAAGATAATCTTGAGATATCAGTTTTCTTGCGAAGATTGAAAACTCCCCGACCACAAGATATGATTCGTGGTAAGCGGTGCGAATTATATGAAAGATTATTATTATAAAAATATTTTTGTCTCATCTGATAATCTTCCCCGATCAAATAATAATGGATAAACGCTGATATAATTCCTTATATGATCTGTTACTACATTAACATTTTATGCGTACATAATTATTGTTATTTATTAATTTTTAATTTTTTACGATAAATATGCATCAGATCCTTTGCCAAGGCGAATTTGCATGGGAATTCTCTAGTAATGGTGATGTACCAGCGGATGCAATAATCGCTGGTCAAACAGCGGACGGAGAACCTTTATACATTGGCCGTGTCCTCCATAACGGATCTCAAACGATTGGCAAGGTCAGTCTTTTCGGCAGTTGTTCTTAAGATTCGAAACAATTGTTTGCACATACATATATGCGATAAGAATATTTGAAAGTATAGAACATTATTATGTTTTTCCATCTACCATTTTGTGTTTTCAATACGCGAAATTTATTTTAATTCCGCTATGATTTCGTTTACTTCTATGTGTCTGTGTGTGTGTGTGTTGTAAAAAAATATATATTTTTTCAGGTACAACAAAGTCACGGATGCCTGTACATTCCATTCGATGGCGAAGAGTTGTCGTTCAAAGATTACGAAGTACTTGTCATGCACTAATTAAAGATGCTCGATTGTAATATATATTTTATGTATACGGTTAAATTATCAGTCAAGCAACAACATCTCTAAACATACTGCTGAAGAAATTATTATGCGAATAATAGCGCATTTTTAAACATTTGTACAAATTTATTAAAGAGATGATTATAAACAAGACGATTATCAATATATATCGAAATTTCAAATTGTTTTTAAAAAAAACAGCAATTAAATATCGAGATAACATTAATTAAACAATTTATGTTTTTTATTAATTCCTTAGCAATATTTCCATAATTTACTCTATTATATCGATAATAATTCGTTATAAAAATGAAGTTTATGAAGATACACGTATCTTTAATTTCTCTAAAAATATTGTAATGTAAAGTAATATAATATTTTTATATTGTAATTGTATAACAAATAATTACTCTTATTATTTCGCCTTTATTTATATTTGTTATAAAATGTATGTATAACAATGCATGCTATTACTCGTATTAAAACGAACATTTGAGTCAAATTATCATCGATAAATAACTGAGCAAAAGAGAGAGTCATCACAAGGCGAACAATTTATAGAAATAAATGAAACACAAATGATTACTAAAAACATTGTGCCAGAAAAATAGGAGCATATATAAAATAGGAGAAATCGTTTCCGTTCACTCGATTCGATAACCCAAAAAATCGAAAGTGACTTTATGCGTTGAACGTGGAATTAAAATCATTAAATGGCTTCACGCGGTTGAAATTTTATCACGGTTTATTGAAAGTCCACGATTATCGAGTAGCGATTCAGCGGAGCGAGAATGCAACAAAATCGAATATTTATGTTAGTAGCTCATTATACAGTGTCTATAATAAGCTATTACGTTAATATATTATAACAATCTAATTTGTTGACGACTGCAGTAAATAATCGATCGATCCGCGAAAAAAATGTGATATCTCTCTCGAACAAACACGGCTGTTATGATGTACGAAGAGGACGGCTCTTGGATGATGACGACCACCGATGCACTCTCGTCGGTCGGATATCAAGACAGAGGTGCCAGTGACAGCTCTGCATCGAATATTTTATAAGCATCGCTGTGGAATTGCGAGCATTACTCACTTGACAGCGTCATACGTCAGACGAGAGCCAGGGCCGCCTCTAGATCTCTTTCGGCCTCTCTAGGTTGCGACCTTGCAATTTTCATCGATTTCGCGATTCCGCATCGTGAGTTTCGAGAGCCTATAGCGTGACGTTTCAGACCTTCAGATCCGATCGGTCGAAGACAATTGAAGCTAAATTGTTCGTTCGATTAAGTCGAATAAACAAACGATTTTACGAGCATTTATCGTGTGATACGAACAACGGCAAAACACGGCAAATTACAAGGAGCATCATGCAGATGCGGTTCGTCATTACAGGCGAGGAAAAACGCGATAATGCAATCGGCAATGCTCCTCGCCAGCTGACGAGCCGTTGCGAATAGCTTCGAATGCACCGTAGATAATAGCACTTGAACGGCCCTGTCTAAAATAGGCTTCGACTGTAGAACGCTGGGATCGTAGCGATTACTTTATCAACGAATTGTCACATTTAACAGCGCCTCGTCGAGTTACGCGCGGTAGAGATTCGACGACGCTCCCTGTTTACGCTCAGTTGTCATCATCCGTTCAACATCGGATCATCGCGATAGTCGATGTAGTGCAATCGATTCTTTTGGCTAACGAGTCTCTTGCGTTCTCATTGAAAAAAAAAAATCGTGCGCCAGGTGGTGCGAAAATGCTCGTCTTCGCGCGACCCCTCAAAGTCACTCGCGTCTTGTTCTCGATTAAGAGAAGCAACACGTTCGGATAATTCCAGATTAGTAATTACTTCTGTGGCAGGGAAGAATTTTTGTAATAAGGAGAAAAACGAATTGCGAATGATCGAAGACTGCGCGTGATCAATCATTCGAATGGATTGCTCGGTGAAAGAAGCTTATGCAATAGAACTGGCAAAGTAATCGCACGGTTTCGTGTGTAGCTTCTTACGAATCGTTGACATCATCCGAGTACAAGAACATTCGCACTTCGCAAGAGATTTCGACACTAACTTTGGGATCTCGATTTGCATTATTCAACACTTTCTATATAATATCTCCTTCAACGTAGTAACTCACAGTTAACAAACACTTACGATCGGGAATCAAGATTATCGACAAGAAGGAACAATGTACCGTCGAACAGTGAGATATATGAAGCCGAAAAAGATCATCATTCGTCGACGCAAGAATAAGTACTCTTTAGGTAGAAAGATGAACATGATAATTATTACTCGTCGTCCATTTATGAATATGTCACTTTCAGTCGAGAGTGAACTAGACTTTATGTAACATGGCATTTAGCAGAAGCACGTTTCCATAAAGAAATATTCGGGACATGTCAGCTCGTTATGTTCCATTGCAAGAAGACCTCCACGTGTCGAGGTAATTACCATGTTCTTGATGCATCAGAGAAAGGAAACGAATATAAGATAGATAAAGCGGTCTTCGAAGAAGAGTAGAGTTAAGTGAGAGAGAGCAAAGTAGGAAGATTACAGTCCTCGAACGTCGTTAACGGAGACTAACCTTGACCCGAAAAGTAAGCGGAATCGGAAGCGATTCGCCGGGCGCTAGAGCATTAGCCGCTTAATGTCTCGTAGAGTCTCGGATTGTCGTAAAAAGCGATCGCGATAGGTTCTAGGTCTTGGGTTGGGGTCTTGTCGACCGAAGACGGATGAACTCGCGCGTTGCAGGAGCGGCGCCGTAGGCCGATCGTATAGGAAAGAGCGTAACGGAAAGCAAATCCAGGGAGCGAAGAGGGGATAGGTAGTGGTACGGGACGCTGGCGGTGACCGGTGAAGGAAGGAGATAGAGCACCGTCGCGTCTTGTAATGCACGATGGTGCATTAGCCCGGAGTCGCGAGACCAACGTGCGATTTCTCTCGCGCTCTCGCAACCGAACTCGCACCTGCTGAACTCGGGCGTCTTCTTCGAGAGCCGTTCCTCGAAAGTCGTTGATCGCGCCGATGGACTTGGGCCGATCCATACATTCGGAAAGAGAGACCTCGTATATGATTCCACTCGTCTCCGTGTTAAAGTGAGATTTCCTCTTTTTCTTTCACGAAAGATATGTCCGAAATCACGACGACCATCGGTGCGCCTGCAGGGCTCACGCCGGAGAAAAAGCAAGTGCCAGATAAATCCGACCAAGCTGTCACTTGGAAGTCTATGAGTATCCAACAGAAATGGTCCTTTTTAACTAGCAATATCACTGTCGAGCCGATGGTCGCGTGTTATGTGATTCCTAGCGTGCTCTCTGGCCTGGCTACGCAAAATCTTATCCTCGAAAAGGCGTGTCGAGTGAATCTGGCTTATCCGGATGAAGTATGTTCGGCTCTGTCCGCCAGAAACACCACCGGCCTCGAGGCTGAAGAGACCGCGGTTCAACAGCTGGTGGCGCGGATGCAAACTTGGAAGACACCTCTACAAAGCGCCCTACCGACCATTCTGATTCTCTTTATGGGTGCATGGAGCGATCGTACCGGCTTGAGAAAGCCTTGCATGCTGCTACCGATCATTGGCGAGTTCTTCAGCAGCGTCACCCTTATCGCTTGCACGTACTGGTTCCAAGAATTGCCCATGGAGGCGGTTGTCCTGGAGACGTTGTGGCCTGCGTTAACCGGTGGCTGGTTTACCATGTTTATGGGCATCTTTAGTTACATAGCGGATATCACGTCCGTAGAATCGAGGACACTTAGGATCGGCGCGGCCAACGTTTTCCTATCTCTCGGGGTGCCAATTGGCATGGCCTTATCGGGGATATTGTACACAAAGCTGGGTTTTTACGGTGTCTTTTCTATCTCGATGGTGTGTTACATAATGAGCTTTGTGTACGGATTAGTGGTCATTAAGGAACCGCCGAGGGTGCTTGCGGAACGTGCGCGAAAAAAGACCCTTCCAAGCAAGGGCAAACGAATGTCGTTGTGCGCCTTTATTCTCGACTTTTTTTCCTTGAGACATATAGAAGAAACGTTTCGCGTAGCGTTCAAGAAAGGGGCCAACAATCGCCAGAAAAGGGTCATCGTGCTCATGGTTATTATTATGGTTGTCATCGGACCCCTTTACGGTAAGTTTTTTCAACAAAATATATATATCTCTTATAAATATCTTTTCGATACATCGTATCTATATTTAATATAATATAAAAGATTATTTAAATACGGGAGAAAGAGAGAATAATAAAAAAATAAGAAAATAGTTAATGCCAAGAAGATATATTGCATCATAGTTGCATGCAACGCGTACGCGCGCCATATAAGTCTCAGTTTTAATAATATCATCACTCGAAAAATTTGCTTCAAAGTATACTTTTTGAGATTAAAAATTTACTTATAAATTGCTTTAAAATAAGAGTATAGAAATTAAAAATATATTTTCTATTTCGCGATTTATTTCCCATGTAGTAAAAATAAATAATTTTGACGTTAAATGACATAATTTGACGTCAAAATAACGTCAATGATTACTATTGCTATTTAGGTTGCTGTTAAAGTATTAAAGCATTTGTTTTGTAATTTGAGCTATTAGAATTATAAAAATATCGATAAACTTATCCATCATCCATATTATTGTACATCTTTGATATGAGCGTTTATAATTATTTTTTCCAATTGTTTTAACTAAAAACATAAAATATAAAATTAATCAAAATAGAATTAATTAAAATATAATATAAAATTAATTAAATAAAAATAATTATGATTAATATTTCCTCGTATTATGCAAGCCAAAAAATGAATTATAGATGCGATAAGAAATTGAGCAATTTAAATATAAAAATAAATCTACTTTGAATTCGATTATATAAATTGTAATAAATTAGTAAAAAAGCGTTCTATGTAGTAATATTTAAAAATAAAATATATCCATCATTTTTTGCATTCGTAGCAAAGTAAAAACTTGCTATAACTCTCGTTAATCTTGCTACTCGCGTTGCGGTAACTGTGCACATTCCCATTAGTAATTACTTACGTCCGATGGCATGAACATATCGTATGCAAAGGGAAAGTAAGAGAAGACATATGTAAAACTAGGCATACATTTATACGAACGCGAATATGATGCTATTTCAATGTACCTGCATGCCTTCTACGTTTATGTTATCTTAAACGTCGATAAAAACATATTTGCATAAGATTTTTACATGTAACATATTTCATCGTGGCATACAATCGCAGTCCTGTAATACAAAGATATCGACAAATATCGTAACGCAATGACGTAATTTCGAGAGATTGAAAGGTTGACAAAACAATACATTGGTTACGTCCATGAATTTTGATACGGTATAGAAGATTTTTTAAACAAAGACGGTTCCGGTTTTAAGCGATTATATAAAAAAGCCTTACATCTTTTCACGGATATATGTTCTTCGACATAGAATTTGTAAATAACAATTTCCTATATCGACATCTAGATGTAGCAAGTATTATCGATGTACTAATATGAATTAATATGCCGTATGAATACCGAATACGGTATATAGAAATAAAGCTTCTAGTTTTAGCAAGAGCAGCTTGTCCAAGCACGCGACTGCTCGGATCATTCAATTTTTCAATTAGCGTGCATTTGTTACAGCGCGCTATCGCGACTTTAATGCGATCGTGCGCGTTTGTATGGCGACAACGCACAATTCCAGCACATTTCGCGGATGCCCTTGTCACAATTTAATTATATAGATACTGTCGTTACAATGTCTGGGTACGCATTAAGCACGTATTACCCCAGCTGCTAAGTGACGCGGGCAGTCGTCAGCGGGCTTATAACAATTTCGTGTAATAGGCGTCTTCCTGATTTTGAATGCCCTAACGCGGATATACCTGTAAGATGTTATACTTTTCTTAACTCTCTCGTTGTCATCGTAATCACACAAGAGGATCTAACGAGTCTTGGTTCGCAAGCATTAAGAGAATTAACGTTTAATCGGATAGCTTATTTTTATATATTTTATATATAGAGGGAACGAACAAACGAGAGATTTGTTTAAGTATCCAGATATAGAACCTAGCAGTTGTATAGTCTAATATCTCTATTAAAAGTAATTTTCAAATCAATGTATAAATATCTAACGCGTGTGTGAGATGTATTCTTTCAATTATTCTATACTTTTATATCAAACGTATAGAATAGTCCATTATTTCTTAAGCTCCTAGTTATAAATACTAATTAATTATATCAACGTGATAAACATAGTTGCATTATTTTTTCGTAGCATTAATTATGCACGGTAAAATATATTGATGAAATGCATAGACAAAAGGGAAATGTCAAAAGTTATGTAGTAAATTATTATATATAAAGCTTCCAAAATTATCCTACGTATATAAATAATATTGTACCTAAAATTATTTTATAAAGTCTATTTTCTATGATAAATCAAAATTTCATATAAACATTCTTCGACAAGTCATATACTATATGGATGTGCACAAGCGTTTAAAAAACAAATAAAATCATACACTTATTTGCATGTAGTATCTATCAGTACATTTATGCTAATAAGTACGATTCAAATATACTGGCGATGTAATTTCAGATCTTTGCTCATCGTTATATGTGAATATATGGTATATGCGAAAGTCCGACTGTCCTCGTGTATCAGATAGCATTATATTTTCATTACAATCTTGCGAAATACGTTGAGGATATTATGTCATACACAAAATGATGAATTTTAACCGGAAAAATGACCGATTCTCCAAATTTGTTTATATCGTGCAAATAAGCAATTGTAATTTAATGAAAAAAATTGATGGACAATGTACATGCATATTTGTGTTATCTCTGCAGAGATATTATGTAATAAAGAAATCTTGTAGGTTTTACCGTTATCTCAAGAGTTGCATCTCTATTAAATTATTCTTCTTTCTCTCTTTTTTTGCGAAAGAGTGAGTTTTACATAATACTCACGTTGCATTTGACCTTCGTAGTTAACTCGATGGTATTACCGCAGGAAGCAATTTTTGGTGTAATTGTTGTCGATGTAATTGTCAGAAAATCGTTTGTAATTGAAAAGCAGAAAACCGTTACGCTTGGGTAACTCAAAATATTGTTGCGTAATATTAACGCGATAATGGCCTTATAAAATACAAGACATTGTTGCAAATAAACTATATCGATAGTTTATTCATGTATACAGAAATAAGATATAGATAATAAGTAACAAATTCACGTGTTAAGAATTATAATAAAAAATGCAAATCAAATGTTGAGCTAATAAAATGCACAATATTAAAGATTTTTTTTTTTAAACTTGACATTTAAACTGTAAATGAAAAATTTTAGAAAAATCAAGAATTGATTTTGCTAAACAATTGGCTTAATAGATTCTGAAAATATTATTTTCAGATTAACAAACTCACAATAAGTTTGTGTGAAAAATAACAACATTGATTGACAGATCAATCTTGATTGAGAAAAAACTCGATTCTTGGAAGTCATTATAAAATTCTAATCTTATATAAATACGGTAGGAAATTATGTCTCGCGGTTATTAAGTCGTTAAGATTCACACTAATAAGCATCAATTATAAAATTTTACAGCTATAATTACACGCGCACATACGTACTTTTAAAAAATATTGAAACATGTATTAAACGGAGTTTGTGTTATTATATACAATATATTCTATCAAGACTTTTAATATATTTGATCCTTAATTTTTATCAAGAATTCGATATTTCGATATAACAAACTTATAATGAGTTTGTGTGAAAAATAATAACATTAATTGTTTGACAGACAATATTGATTGAGACTCTATTCTTGGAAGTCATTGCATACATTTTAGCGGTTATAAAAAAAGCAATTTTTTTATAATAAAAATATCATTAAGTTTAATCTATTTCAGGTGAAATGGCGGTTCTCTATCTTTACATGCGATATCGATACAATTGGAACGAAGTGACGTTCAGCATGTTCTCCACGTTTGGCATGGTAACTAATCTGATCGGTAAGAAAATCATTTCAAATCAAAACGTTACATATCAAGACGTAAATGACAAGAAATTCATGCCAACGCTTGTAAAATATTTGCACGTAATACTCTTCCAATTCCTCAATTATTTCACCGTTTATTTTAAAATAGAAATATATGACAAAGCAAAATTAGTACGTGTAAAAGTACACACGTAACACATGATTATTCGAAGGAGATAATCTCCTACCGTTTCACAAGAACTAAAGATAACCTCGTAACTAAGCTGCACATTCATTAAATTAATCGAGTTTTTTTTGTATTTATGAAACCAATGAAAGCCTAACGAATGATTTATGTAAAGACTATCCTTGCTAAGCAGAAACATTGACTGTCGCTTTTATTCTAACGGATCTTAGAAGCTAAAGATTGCCTTGAAAATGCAATTGTACGCAGACTATGAATAGACGACACAGATAGTTGGAAAATATTGGACACACATTTTGCAATAGAAAAAAAATAATAAATATTATTAAATAATCATGTACGCGATTAAAGATTGTCAAGAAAATTCAGAATTCGTTTGCGAACCAAATTGAAATTTTAGTATATCATATATTCGACGTACAATAATTTACTATATAAGTTTTCAATTTATCAAAAACTTTCTATTTATCAATGTAGATTGCGTAAATTTATTACACAATCCAGTTTTTCTCGCGCGTCGAACATTTTTTCTTTATTTAATAATCTGTCTTAATTTACAATGCTTTTTATTGTTTGCTAATTCATCTCTTTTGTTAAAATTATTCAAGCAATAATGCGTTTTTTTGCAAGAAAATTGAGAAATTCTCTCTTAATGCACAGGCACCGCGATCTCCGTCGGTATTTTCAGTCACATCCTCAAGATAGATGATGCGATTGTGGGTATCATGAGCTGCATGAGTAAAATTTTAGCAAGTTTTGTCTACGCGTTCGCCACAAGTACTTGGATGGTCTACGTAGGTCAGTCTTTTTAAAACGGCTAACATCAGGGTAACAACTATAATATATATAATCAAATATATCATGCACATTTTCAACATTCCGACAAACGATGTAATTTATAATTACATGTTTCAGCTGCTATCGTGGAGATTGTAAACGGTACATCTTTTATTGCTATGAGATCAATAGCGTCCAAACTCGTACCTACAGACGAACTCGGTAAGCAAAATTAAATACAAAGTCATATTCCTAGCTCTACGTTATTATCATCTCTAATGAATTTATTATGCAGCTTTAAGAATTTTACGCAACTTTAAAAAAAAATAATTGTGGGAAACAGTCGTGCATATATATATTACGAGTTTCTTGGAAAGAAATCATTCAATCGCGAATCAAACGACTTTCTGTACAAAATATTCTATGAAAATATTTTAGCTGTTACACGGCTCTCTCTTTCTTTCTCTCTCTCTCTCTCTTTCTCTCTCTGAAGAAGCAACTAAGATGAACAGAAGTCTTTGTAGAATGAGCTCAAATATAAGAATTACGACTATTATTTCAGCATCGCTTAATAGTGTTTTCAACTTCAAGCTCGGTCTTCACCTTCATGCTGCTTCACGGAACCGCGTAAATCGGATAATTTGGGCACCAAATTACAATTTACGTTGCGACTAATTTTTCCCTTATCGCGAGCAAAGTTTAACGAGACCTTCCTGCTAGGCTAACAATTCGACAAGGAAAATTCGACGCACCATTTTTTTTCTTCTCCAGGAAGATAAGATGCATTATGTAATTTCATAGGTAAAGTCAATTCATTGTTTGGCGTGTGCGAGTCATTAATGCCGCTTGTTTACGGACCCATGTACAGCGCCATTTACGCTGCAACCATGAAAACGTTTCCGGGGACTTTTTTCATCGCCGGAGGGACCATGACAATGCCCGCGGTATTTGCGTTCTTGTAAGCATTCGTCATAGATTTTAATTAATTAGATTTTTGTCAATTATTTTAACATACATTTCGCAAACTTTGCCATCACTTTATATGCAACTAATTCAATTGTCAAGTGTGTGTTTTAAGCTTGTATAATTTATATATATATAATTGTATATATTATATATTATATAATTGTATGTAACATTTTACGTGTATTTTTAATCAGCTGGTTATACACGGAGCATCGAAAGGATCGTATGATGAAGGAACAGAAGGAACCCGAAGCTATGATCAATCAAAAGAACGAGGACACGATAGACCACAATTTGAAGAATCTTCGGATCATAGACACACAAAAGAGTATGCAAAAGACCGAAATGATGAATGGCATAGATAACGCGGCCTTCGAATCTGAGAAATTGTGATCTCACGATTTACGTGATCCTTTTTTTAATGTGTGAAGACGTATGATACATTAATAATACCTCATCACAAAAAGAAAGGACTGAAAGAGCATCTTAAGGTCAGTGCTAATAAAGTACTGATCGAGAAGCTATTGATAAAGAAATTAACGAATTTTAAAGGATACCAAAGTAACTTCGAAGCAGATACATATATTAAACAATAAAATTCGGGGTTTTCCGGTGAATCACAGATTCCAGAATCCGGTGAATTAAAGATTTTCCGGTGAATCACAGAGAAAATTGATTTTTAAACTTTCGGGATTTGTTAAAGATAAACATTCTAAAAAGATAAACTATTTATCAGAGAACATAACAAACATATATTCGGAACAAAATTTATCAGAATTTATTTTTGAGCTTTTCTTAGATCCCGGAAAATTTCACAAAAATAAATTAAAATTCGAAACTATCGCATCTTTCAAATCCTATGCAATTGCTAATAGTTACCTTCTTCATAAAGCATTAAAGTACAATTTAAGATGTACATAAAAATTTTGTTAACTTTTTTTCTATCCATGACTTCATTTATAGTAATTTGTGGATTTTTTCCAACATTTTCAAAATATAAAGACATTCAGAATAAATAAAGGATAACTTATGAGCTTAATTTAACAATAGCTAAAATAATATATATCGAGAGTTATTAAAAAAAGATTATTTTTTAAGAAAACATAATTATTAAAGCAATTATTTTAGAAAAGACAAAGTCTCTCTTCTTATTTTCAGAGATTACAAGAGACATTAGTTTACTAGTATACAGACATACAGTGAAGATCCATCTGTGGCACATTTTTTTTTATAGTAAAATCTTTTCTAACAAATAAGATAAATGTGATGTAATATATCTCATAGTTTTCAATTTTGGTATTCGTTTAAAAGCGACCAATTATATGCAACAAGGGCGTCTTTGATAGTGTGGCGTTAAACCCGATACTCAGATTTTTATTTAACGATCTACATATATTCTTTATGCTGAATATATAGATATACGTTACTAGTACAAACTGTACTTAAAAACACATTATAACGTAAAAGATTATAGTGTAAAAGAAGTATACACATCACACAATTAATCATATTATATAACAAGATTAATCAGTGTCCGACTGCACAAATTCTTAATAACAAGCTCGCAAAAGAATATAAATATTTTTTCTTCTAAATGTAAATTGTACAAAGCGCACGATAAAGACGTGCTAATTAATATATTTCAATTAAAAGATTTTATCGAATAAAGCTTGATCAGAGCGTATATCAATAATCTCGTTTATAATTAATTTTAAGTAAAGCTTAATACAAATTTTATTTGAGATTTAATATACATGTATATTCGCATATACAACAATATACATTCAAAATTGAAAAACAAATATGTATTTATTATTATATGATTTTTTGTAATAGGTACATTTCCCAATATATAACTTATATACCTGACTTTTTTTTATTTAGAACAATTAGAGACTGCGTACAATAAAAGAAATAAGGAACTAGGAATAAAAAACAAAAAACAGAAATAGGAAATAGGGAACAACATTCAATGTAAAACATAAAATATAATTTAGTAACGCAAAATATACATAGGGAACAGAATAATAGTGCTAAGATAAAATTATAAAATTTCTGTATTCTGCGTTAATAAATTACATTTAATATATTTTATATTAAACTGTTCCGTATTTCCTGTTTTTGTATTATGTTCTTTATTTCCTATTTCTTATCCCTTTTATTGTGTGCAGCTCCTACTTGTATATTTTAATATATAACACAGAAATAATCGCCAAAAAGTTTTAATTTTTGAATATTTTATTTGTTTGGTATATATTTTTTAGTTTTTTAAAGAAAATTATGTGAAATTGTTCATTGTTTTAATGAAAAAGTTAATATATAAATTTCTTGAATTTTTTATAAAAAGTTAACATACATGCAATTTTTTAACTCTTTTTCCGAATTGCGCTCTACTTAATTTTTGGTGATTAATCTACATATACATATGTAGATATAGGTATAGAATGTTATATATATATATATATATATATATATATATATATATATACATACATACAATATTCACTCACCAATACGATGTGCAGCAGTGGAACTCTATAGTACAAAGCGTTGATCTATAACAAACATAAATTATATATATATACAAAATAGTTTTCAAAATAATTAATATTTGAAAAAGTCAATAATGCAATTAAACTTTTATTCGTATAAAAAAATATATTTAATAAAATTACGCCATAAAAATTATTAAATTTTTAAATTAATTTTTTTAGATCTAAATTTATATAAGATATAATAAAACTTAATTTTTTTAAAAATAACTAAATGATTATAAATTGTATAAACAATATTAAAATTACATACATACATATATAATTTTTTTTATTATTATTTACTTAATTATAAAATTTAATATATCTTTTTATTTTTTTATAAATTACCTTAACATCCATATTTATCTTTTTTCTCAAAAATTATATTTTTTTTATTTTACTTTAAATTTATTCTTAATATTAATTTATTTTCAACTTTTTTAATAACAATTTAAATAAGAAATTTATGTAACAATTTATATATAATTTATATAAATTATATATGCATTATGCATATATATATATATATATATATATATATATATAATTATTTATATAATATTAATTTATATAAATTTAGTTTTAATTATAATCTGTGCATGCTTACTGTATGATTAGTGCATCGTTGCCCGATGCCTTCCCGGACCTCCTCATCCTCTGTTGTTCGTACTTATAGCGTGTCTTTTTGGCACTTACACAACACACGCTTGCGAAAATAGAATCACGCGCGCGCATTAATTACCAAAATAAAATAATCACCCGACAATTTGAGCAACACTTCCGATGTTAATTGTACGCGATTCTATACGCCACTTCTGATTTTAATCGCGCGATATACTTTGTGCGGAACCCGACATTAATCGCCCGTAACTTAATTTCATACTTCGGCGCTCCCGCTTTTAACTGTACGTATGTTTTATGCGCTCGCGTTAATTATATGCGACGTATATTTGAGAGAACAGCACGCGACAATTACAATTATACGCGCGACACGACGAACGAAGCACGAAAGGCGGGATGTCGCCGCAGTGATGCCAACTGTCTAATTAGAAATTATCAATCATTTGCGATTAATCGATCATTGAAAAGATCGATTAATATAGAGCACTTTACTCGACGTGACAAGCGCTTCGAACAATATTTATTCAAGGGATTCTTTCCTGTTTATAAATAAATAAATAAATATTTTGATCGATCATTAAAAAAAAAGAAATATTTTTCTCTTACTTCAGAACAGTTTTTTTTTAAACCGGGACAGCGCTCTATGTTAATCGATCTTTTTAATGATCGATTAATCGCGAGACTGATAATTTCAAATTAGAGAGTTGGCCTCATTGCGGCGACTTCCCGCGTATTTTGTGTTAGTTGGCATCATTGCGACTACATCCCGCCTAAACGTGCATTCAGTGCATCGCACCGTAGCTTCGTAATTATGATTGTCGTGTTCTTTCAAATACGCGAATTAAAATCATTTAATTAAAAAAAACGCATAAAATATGCGTAGGATTAAAAGCGGGAGTGCCGAAGTATGAAAATAAGTTATGTACAATTAATGTCGAGAGTTCTGCACAAAGTATATCGCGCGATTAAAATCGGAAATACCGTATATATAATATCGGATTAACGTCAGGAGTGTCGCTCAAATTGTCGTGCAATTATTTTATTTTATTAATTAATGTGCGCGCATGATTGTATTTTCGCGAGTGTGTGTTGTGTAAGTGCTAAAAAGACACTACAAGTATGAATAAACAAGAAAGAGCTGCCACACGTGGTGAGCAGATTATATTATAATTAAAACTATACATATAAATATTATATAAATATATAAATAAATTATTTGAATATTTTATAAAGAAATTATATATAATTTGTATATATTGTATGTATATAATTTTAATATTGTTTTTACAATTTATAACTTAATTTACTTTTTAAAAATTAAATTTTATAATATTATATTTTATATAAATTTAGATTTAAAAAAATAGTTAAAAAGTTTAATAATTTTTATGACGTAATTTTATTAAATATATTTTAATATACGAATAAAAGTTTAATATAACGCACTATTGATTTTTTCAAATATTAATTATTGTGAAAACTACTTTGTATATATATAATTTGTATTTTTTATGTTATAGACTATTGCTTCGTATTATAAAACTCCGCTGTTGCGTATCGGTGAGTGTATTGCATTATTTATATAGAAAAATTGAAGATTTTTATTCATGTTTTTTAAAAAACTTTCCAGTAATCATACAATCTTTGTTAATCTATATTAAATATCTATTTAAATACAGATCAAAGTAACAAATAAAAAATCAGTTGCACTTGATTAATTTTTAAAAATTATTTTGAATATTTTGCTTTGTACAAAAATCAAAATTGTAAAAGTATTAATTGATGGATACTTACATTTAATTTGTATTTGGCATTTGCAATTTGTAACAGTCATGAAGGGATAGAAATATTAATTAATTAATCAACCCTTTGTAAACTAAAGTTTCAATTTTCGTAAATTTAATAAAATATCAAAAGAACATAATTAACAGTGTATATAATAGCGGAAATAATAATTTAATATTTTCTAAAATATCTTTAATCCAAAATTTTTTACTTGCAATATTGCATCAATTCAATACACGTTGAATTTACAATGACTATTAAATATTTTTTGACAGAAATATATTGTTAAAAAGATATCGTATTAAAATAATTTAAAAAAATTTCATATCTATATAAATGATCCATGAAACACAAAAATAAAAACACAATTTCAAATACAAAAATGTAAAATTTTTAAGAATATATAGGATTTATTTACTTGAAGATTGGATTATTTAGGTAAGTACTTGAATGGTGTGGAGAATATAGAAAAAACACTCCGTAAATTCATGTTTTCAACAATTTACTCCTAGGCTCTTGTTCTGGCTTGTTGACTGAGACCGGCGCGGTCTCTCTTTGTTACATAATACATAAAAATAATGGTATGTACAAATGTAAGGAGAAATGTTAGGCACTCAATGAACAAAACGGCGGAATTATAAATGATAGTCTTATCGCGCACAACATGCGAGCGAATGGTATTTCTATTTGTATCGACATGATGCACTCAGAGAGCAGAGAACAATAATAAGTTTTTAAGATTACACTGCGTGAAAAATAGAGCGCAGCTATGTAATGTAGACACAGCAAACAGAAAAATTAATACATAATACAATCGATTTTCTTATTTTCAATTTTTATTCGCCACTCAACTCTTGTCAAGTCTTCAAGATCCGACTGTTTTGATGAAATGACTGGTGTTGGAATGTTGATGATCGGGTAATAAACATTTTCTGGAATGTGCTCCGCAAAGTCTCACGAGATTTCTTTTCTTTTTGTTTCTTTAAAAATTAAGTCACATTATACCTAAGTACCGCAGTGTCGTTACATGTTATTAACGCTCCATTCCATATTTTCACTGGCCTTCGTGCTCATTACGATAAATAGTATGAATATTCAAAAGGAAGGATTGCTTGCTACTCTGATTTTACGCGTATCAATGTGCGATTTTGCTCGTATAGTCTAAACATGTCTGTAGACTAGAGTTCTCGTATCGTTGATACTGGTTTAAAATTAAATCAAAACTCGCATAAAATATTCTATTCCTTTTGAAATTTTTCCTTCTCATTTTCCAGAAATTCACGATTTCTTTTGCTCGCAATCTTCCCAATTATACACCGATTACAATCTGATTTCTACCGATTAAATTCATTTCACCATACGCACTATTATATTAAACGTAAAAAATAAGGACATAGTCATTATTGGATGCGAGCGATTTCTTGACACTCTGCCAGTCCGATATAGTCGATGTCATTCTTCGATCTTTCGCCTCACATTTGTCGATCTTATATATAATGTAATCTTCTCTTCTTATCATTATTTAACTTTATCAATCGGTCGACATACAAATTGCATGATATATCATTGTATTTTTTTTTTTTTCAAGTACTCGACGTAAAGGTCCACATTACGCTGAATAAAATAAGTTATACATTTGTCTATTTCTTCTCCATTAAAATATTATGATACACACAAATTACAATTATTTATGCTCGGAGTATAAGAGCCGTTAGTTGTGTGAAACTAGAAAGCCTTTGTCGTTTTATTTGCAGTCGTAAAAACTGTCTTTCCACGCGGATGGGATACAATTTGATTTGTACAATTAACTTTTTATACATATCCTCGTACGATTGATATGACTTTATATTTATGATCGGTGC